AAAAAAAAAAAAAAAAAAAAAAAAAAAAAAAAACCTACCAAGGACGACGACGACCAGATCCAACGTTGTTACGGGGCCGATTTTGCCACCGGCGGCTCGTCCGACAGGAAAACAGGAACTGACATTAAATCCCTGGCCGCAATAACATCGGGTTTGCCGAATGCCTGCCGAGCAGCGCGGATCATATCTTTGATACTTCTTGAATACCCCAGTCCACCAGCTTGGTCCTGATTCAGATTCTGAATCTGGTCAGGAAATCGCTGATTGTTCACAGCACCTTCGAACTTACCACTGAAGTGAGTGAGAATGAGCTTTCGGGCATCAATTGCTCTGGCGAAATTGCCAGCCATGGTCGACGTGGAATGACCCCTCTTCATCGCCTCCCCTGCGATATCATCACTCAAGGTCGCCTCGTGGACAAGTATATCAGCTTCTTGAGCGACATCCAGAAGCGATCTGGAGTCGCACGTGTCGCCCAAGATCACTGCTTTGCGCCCCCTCCTCGACTGCCCCAGCACGTCCATGGGCCTGACCAATCTTCCATCGGGTAGGGTAATGGTCTCCCCTCTCTGAAGCATAGCGTAGCTGACCCCCGGTTTCACCCCCGCAGCGAGGGCCTTTTCAACACTAAATCTGCCAGGCCTCGTTCTCTCTGCAATCACGTACCCATAGCAGGGCACCGAGTGCCTAAGCGCGCCTGCCTGGACAACGTATCTCTCGTCCTGATGCACAAGCCACAACCCATCACCTCCGCAAGCAATGTCCCTCCCCGGCAGCTCATCAACATGCGGGGGGTCTTCCATCAGCATAGACAGACCCCTCCTCGTTGATCTCCTTTGCCCCCCCGGAGGGACAAGTTCGTGTACAGCATACTTGTTGGGAACGCCAGCCTCACTGAGACACAGGGTTGTCCTCAACCAGGCTCGCAGACCGACGGGTCCATAGATCTGCGTTGGCGGTCTCCCAGGGGATCCCTGCTGGCCAATCATGCATATAACCCCCGGTAAGCCGAAGATGTGGTCCCCATGCATGTGTGTGATGAAAATCCGGTCTATCGTTCGAGGCCGAAATTCCGTTTGCGTGAACTGCCTCTGTGCGCCTTCCCCACAGTCGATCAGATAGGTGGTCCCGTCCAGGCGCAGCGCAATGCACGTGGTGTTTCTGAACTTAGTCGGCATGGAGGATGCTGTGCCCATAAACACCACCTCGAAGCCACGGAAGTCGGGATCGCAGCGCCCGGCCTTTGCCTGTGGGGGGAACCTCTGCTGACGCCAAGGGGATCTTGCATCGGCCGGTCGCATTCTCGGTCTATTGCCTCCTCCTCCTCCTCCTCCTCCTCCGGGCCAACGCGGCTTCTCCTCCACCTCCTCCTCCCCATCATCCGTCTCAGCGGCAGCGGTTCCAGATGTCGACAGGTGTCGGGCGATCATCGCCGTCTTGTGCTGTTGGGATCCCGGCGCAATCGTGGGATAAGAAAACCCTCTGCATCTCCGTGCGACACGTGTGATCATCATCCGCAGCATCGTCGTCATTGTCGTTATTGTCGTTATGTCCACGCTCCCC